GGTTCAGAATAAAATATGTGCATAGATTAGATAAGTATTCCCTGTAGTGAAAAGCATCTAAGTACCTTTATGCGAGTGCAAGTATCTTGGATGGCTTACTAATCATTCATTGGATAATTTTTTGTTTCCTTTTTATGAATTATACTATATTTCAAAGGAAAATATTGCTTAATTGTGCTTCTTTACTTCATTTTTAGAGCTTAAATCAAAATCACACTCTGGAGAATAACAAAAGCGTTGCAAAACGTAAAAAAGCCACATTTGATATAGTCATAATTAATAAGTGTGTGAGTTTGCTAAAGGCCTGTTTGCTCAAAATTTGGTATAAAATGTTTTTTGAAAACAGATCTACCGTTTGAAAAACGTTTTTTCAGCTTCTTCCATTAATAACATTGATCTTCTGTACTTACGAGGCTATTTCGAAATTCCTACTCTGGTGCTGTAGCATGAGCACCATCTTTGCCTATATTTATCTAATGCATACTTTAGCTAAAGAGCAGTTTGACATTAAATGGCTTCTTCAAGATTAAAACATGACTGCTCTCATGGGAATGTTTAATATTCTAGTTTCTCGTGCCACTCAAGTTAGACCTACAAGTCCAAATCAAGAATTAAATATGAAGCCAATCTAATAGAGTACAAATGAAAAAAGCCAGCAAGTGGGCAAAGAGTTAAGATTCCTGTTCTTTGAGGCAGTGCGTAAAAACTAGACTGGTGACATTAGATCAACTGCCTCCTGTCAAAATGAGAGGAAAAAAACAGTTATTTGTAAGAGCCAGTTTAGAAACGGCTCTGGGAACAGTTTTGTCGACAAGGGGTTAAAATATACTGCCTTTATGAACAAAACGAAACAAAACGAAAAAAACAAAGCTTTGATCCAATTCCCAACCTCTGCAGACCCCAACCTAATCAGGCATCTGCCAGATGAGCCAGAACACACCTTAATTATGAAGGCCCATCCCACACTTCCAAGGACCCAGGGGATCGTTGCTGCAAATCACCAGGGGATACTCTTAGATTCTGTATTCATTAGCTGGCAATTCATTGCGGTGCTGGTTAGATGAGAGGGGGGGGCCTAAGTGATACTTAGCAAGTGGTTCGAATGCTGTCACACATATAACGGCTGGTGCATTCTAAACCAAAAGGTGTGGATTCGAACAGAGCGCAATTTGTGTTTAGATAGAAGAAAGAAATGTTCAGTTTTTCTATCCCAGGCTCACACGACAAAGCTAAAAGAAAGACGGCAGAATGGCCGCTCACACATACATCTAAATGGCTAAGATGAACCAAACTGAACTGTTGTTCTTCCTTTCTTTAAAACTGGACCATTGGAACCGAATCGCACAGGTTAAAGCACATTCAAACCATTTACTGTAGATTCCTATCCATATGATGCCGGTCAAGCGGAAAATCCATGTTTACACACGTTGAGCATTCAGCAGAAACACACATCTGTCTCTGTTTCCCTGTAACGTCTAAGCCGTTCGACCCTCGTTTAGACCTCCGTCCCATTCGATCTCATTTCGTTCTGTGCGGCTCACGTTCCCTCTCTGATGTCCACTGACTCACCGCGGCCACGTCCCCCTTCCCCTTCCCTCACTCTTTGTCGAAAGGGTCAGTAGATCAGTTTTCAGTCTGGCTCAATGGGTGATCCCTGCTTTGGTTACCTCGTCCTTCTCACCTTCCGCTAACCCCTGCCCAGTCACCCCCTTCAGCATATGGCGGGCCTGAACTCCAGGCGGCTTTAATAAATACATCAGAGAGCTGGTATCACCGTGACAGGGGTTATGGGTTGGTTTCAGCGTGCGTGCGTGCGGAGGGAGGCGAGTGTGCGTGTTTTCTTTTCTGGTTGACTGTGTCTTCACCTCCCTGACCCCCCGCAGCCGGCCGCATGTTTCCACAGGAGGTGTTCCATGTGGGCTCGCTCCGTCTGGCATGTGTGGAGGAGTGAGTTCGAGTGACAGACGCTCATCATATTTAATCCTGGAGGGATTTAGCAGAAATGAAAAGCTGCTTTTCAATTTTATAATCCAGTAGACCTAATCTCTCTCCGTCCGCGCTCGTCCGCGCGGTCCAATTAGATGAACAAGAGCGGCCGGATGAGTCCTATTTACCGCAAATCGCATCTCTGTGTTGTCGAAGTCCGGCGCTGACCTTCACCGAGTGTTGCCGAGTGGTGCTAAAAGCTGCACCGTCAACCCCACCTGCTTCCATCCACCGCAGTCTTGGCCTCGCTATCATGGCATTGATTGGACTTGGACTCGATATTTTTGCGAGTGTGTGTGTGTGTGTGGCAGTGGGTGCGAGCCTGATTCGATTCAGCCTTCGTGGCACCGCCATCTCAACCCCCCCCCCGCCCCCTCCCCGCCCCCATACGCCCGCTGGGTACAGAGAAAAAAAGTGCACACTACAGTAAAAGAAGTGGCACTAGTGAAAATGCTGAGTTGGGGCATTCGCAGAGGTCAGCGCGGAACAGAGAAGATGCAATAGGAGCGGCGGCGGGGCGCTAAAACAAACGGCGTACGGCAAAGGAAGACTGACGGAAAGAGGAAAGGCTCGAATGCCAAAAGACGAGGTAAACGGAGAAATAAACAGAGGGCGTAACGGACCCAATGAGATTATATTTCATGCTGCGACACACACAAAAAAAGAATGGCAGATTTAAAAAAAAAAAAAAAAGAAATTGGGGCATAAATGTTAGATTTAGTGACCTTTGTTGTGGTTGAGTGTGGACAGTGGACTGTTTAGTCGTGTGTGTGTGTGTGTATGTGCATTTTGTTTGTGTGGTGGCACTTTGAGGGTAGAATGAGGCCACTTTTTCCATATTGACTGCAGTGCCATGTGACTGCTGTGATCATTAATATGTCCTGATGCCAACGGGTATCCTGATGACCCACATCTCAGCAGTCCACTCTGGCTCTTTGGCTGCCGCCCAAACCAGGCCTCTCTCCATCTCTCGCAGTTTGCCCGCCCCTCCCTGCTTGGAAGCATGTGCTCTAACCATCCCCCCCCCCCCATAAAAATTTCTCTATTAGCGGGTAGCTTTCAACCTCTAGACATTTCAGGCACTGACTGCAGTGTGTCTGTGGCGTTGGACAGAAGGCTGGTGCTGAGTGTCTGGGAAAAATCTGTACACTTGTCCTGGCCTGTCTATCTGTATCACTTCGAGAACATTCCAAAGTTACTCAACCTCATTCTTTAAAAGATAAAAATATCCCCTAAATTCCAAAATGAATGAAATTCATCTAAACCATTTGTGTTCCCCCATTGGAAATGAAACATCTTCCATGTCTTCGGGAATTTAAGGAAAAAAAATCCTGAGAGGAGCAAATAGAAAACGAAGAAATGGTATTACCTGCCAATGCTGCATACGAGGTCACCGGCTCAGTTGTTGCCAGGCTACAAACTTCATTATAATTCAGATAAGTTAAATTCAGTTCAGTCAGTCAAGTAAACAAACTCCCACGAAGCATACCAACTTGGTTTGAGAGTAATGTGAAATTAATATAAAACTATGTAAATAATAGAAGAGAAGAAATCCTCAAAGTTTCAGTTATATAAAATTTTCAGAATGTTCATGGTATAGTAAAAAAACTGTCAATTTAAAGAGGGATTCCACTCGAACACACACTGGAGTGTAATATTTCACCCCAAAATGAATCATTTTAAATATATGCATTTGGTCTTGGAAACAAATGGAAAAATGACTACTTAGGCTATATTCATTTCAGATAGAAAGACAGTATCCAATTAGCACTATTTACTGTTTGAGTTGATGTGAAATAAATCACCTTTAGATGTCTTTTCAGTAACACTCTGCTTAACAATATCCCAATATACTGTGCTCAGTCTTTTATCGTTCCATCCTTTTCTCCGATTCATTTTTTGTCAGTCGGTCCTTTGATTTAGATCTCCTTCTCTCCACTTCAGTGAACAATTCAGATTCAATAACACCTCCAACACCGTTGACTGAGCTGTCTTGCCATGTTCTTCCTAGTGCGATGCAATTTTGCACTTCATCCACGACGAAGCCCAGCTTTCATTACTTGCCCATTTTTCAGATTCACTTTTTTTTTTCCTCGTGTTTGGACAAGTCTCATTGGTCTGATGATGGGCCGACTTCAAATGAAGATTTTTTTTTTTTTAATGCTTTCACTGACCCAGTAAAGTAGCTTTGAAATTCCGAAGTCCCCCCCCCCTTCTCTTTTTACACAAGCTTTCTCCCCTCCTAACCTTTAAGAAATCTCTCCCACTCCTGGTCTAATGCTATTTCCAATTTCTCCTGGCGTCCCAATTCCTTCATTTGGCACATGCGTGCCACCTATTGCTCCCTGAGTCTATCTCTCACTTGCACTCATTTACAAAACGCATATGCCTTGTTAAAATAAGCAGTCCCTCCAGCACACTGATAGGAACCCACCAATTCAAACCTGCCCATGTCGCCAAACTGTTCAAATTAACAAATTCAGACATGTAATGCATGAGCACACAAAGTCTTTGACACACTCACACACACACACACACACATAGAACTGTGCATGAAACTATTGGCTGCTGGATATTTTGAGGGGTAGAAGGAGGGGGCACCCCCCCCACTGCACCAGGGGAGTTAATTACCCCATGCGATCAATAATTCATTACGATGTCAGTTTGTGTGTCTGCGTGACTCTATGTGTGCTGGCATGTTTTGAGAGAACGTAAGCGCCGACGTGAAACTCTCCCAGTAAGCACTTTCTTTCCCTGGGAATGGCAGATTAAGAGGATTGACTCCGTAATGGATTAACCTCCGGAGTTTGCGTGCGTGTGCATGTGTGTGCTCGCTCCTTGCGTGCGGATGTTGAGCAGGATCAGGGAGCCCATGTATGAATTGATTAGCCTAAGAAGCTCCTCTCCTTCCCTTTTAATGACCACATCAGCAGTTTTTTTATGTCTTCTTTTTTTTCCCACCACAAGCCGGATAAATGTAGAGCTGCCTGTCAAGGAAATAAGAAGCCGCCCCTTTAAGCAGGGTTAGCTGTCACTCGGATATCACTCTTGGAAGGACTCCCCGTGGACGGCGGAGACCCCGCTGTGTCGATTCGTCTGCAGTGATAGATGGGGCCTATGTCTCTGTGCCTCTCGTCTGTGTGGGCAGGGACAAGATGAGTGACCGCCTCGATCCAAAAATGCGATCGTCAACTTTTAAACGGCGGCTTCCACAGTGAACACCAAAGCAAGCCTATCCATTATCGTGCAGCTGATTTTGTTTGTGGAATAAATTCAGATGTATACGTTAAATGGAAGAACTATAACGGCCTGACGAGAGAAACGGAGACACGAAATAACCAATTACTCTTGGAAGAAAAAACTGTTCGCCCACTCCCTCTGTGTCTTTGCACCAACTCAACTCCTCGGGGGTTCGCACAAATGGACCCACACCGACATGCACACACGCACTCATCCATGTATACACAAGCATGTCCTCACATATCACTCAGCTACAGTATGGGCTTGACTCATGTGCCCCGGAGTCTATCTTGCTAAACACTGGGCACCCACATACACACTCCTGACAGCGGAGGAAAGTCACACCGATCATACGCTCGGGATGGTGACACCGACACAAGCGTGCGTGCTCATGCTCTGACAGCTATTTTGTGGAGATAAAACGTCGTGTAGACTTCGGCGACAGCGGGTGCAGGACGTATGTCAGTATATGTGGGAGTTAAAATAAAGATGAGGCTGTGCTGGAGCCACGGAGTGGATGAAGAATACAAAAAAAAGCTGGATTTGCCTCTCGGTAAATTCAATTCAATTCAATTCAATTTTATTTATATAGCGCCACATCACAACAACAGTTGTCTCACAGCGCTTTCCAAACAGAGCAGGTCAGACCCTACTCCGAAGTTAATTACAAAAAACCCAACAATTCCCACCATGAGCAAGCACTAGGCGACACAGGCAAGGAAAAACTTCCTTTTAACGGGCAGAAACCTCGAGCAGAACCATGGCTCAGGGTGGGCGGCCATCTGCCTCGGCCGTAAAGAGGGAGTTCGAACAATAGAGACGTGTGTGGGGCTCGTACCTGTTTGCTGTACTTGTTCCCAGTCTGACAGCCGTACTCGGAGCACTGGTCGGAGCCGAGGGACATGGCGTCCGCGTTGCCGCTGCCGCCGCTGCTGCTGCTGCTGGACCCGGCGCTGCCCACGCACCCGCCGCTGCCCACGAAGGTGTTGGAGGGGGGCAGCTCCTGGACGGCCTGGTGCTTCTTCCCCTCGGCGGGGGGCGAGTGGGGCTGCAGGCTGACGGCGGGGAGAGGCGAGCTGGACTTGTAGTGGCGGGCCAGGTCCGGGCTGGACTGGTGTCTCCTCCCGCCGCCCATGCGGGGGCTGCCCGGGTCGCCGTCCACGGCGCAGTAGCGGGCCGCCAGCCGCTCGCTGGCGCTGCTCAGGTCCTCCTCCTCGTCGTCGTTGGCGTGGCGGCGCAGGCCGTTGACGGTGACGATGCCGCTGTAGAGCGACCGGTCCGACTTCCCTCCTCCCGCCACGCCGCCCCCGCCGCCCCCTCCGCGCTTGTCCCGTCGAGGTTTGCGTCCGCGGTCCGACCCGCCGCCTCTGGCGACCTGCGGCTGGGCCCCCGAGGGGCTGAAGAAGTCCTCCTCCGGCTCTTTCTTACCAGCCTCGTAGCCGTTCTTGCCCTGCGCGCCACACTGCCTCGCCGTGACCACGAGGAGGATGACCAGGATCACGGCCGCGGCGCCGGCCAGCACGCCGATGGCCACACTGAAGCGCTGTTTTCCTAGGCCGCGGTCACTATCGGGGTCCCCGGCAATGTCCAGGGACAGCGGGATTGTTAAACTCCGGGCCACCTGCAATGGGGGAGAGAAAGGATAACGGTAAGAGGGAGAAATTGCAAAGCAAACAAGAAAAATACATAAAAAGAGAGAAACCATCAATGACAAGAGGGTCCAGTTGGGCCCTTCAAAAGATGACACAGTGGGCGCGAGCCACAGAGAAACATCAAACGGCATCTTCATCTTAATTGAACACACCATACTGTTTAGCCTCTCCGTTATTCCCAAGCACATAGAGTGCCACTAAATATGCAATTTCTCTTGCCTCCCAGTTGCAGCATTTCGGTACTTATGATCTCGCATCGTCTCTAGCATTACAAGAAGTGCCTTGGATTAGGCGAATCTAAGTAGGAAAAACAGTCGATAAACGCGAAAATAAAGACAAGAGACGGTCTATGATTACAGCCCAGGCACAAGCTCATTTACTGTCTCATCAATGAACAATATCTCCATTGTAAATGATAGCGTGGGCGGGAGATTTGTTAAGGATTTGCAATCACAGTTTTTGCACTCAGACTTGGAAGGATAGACAAAGAGCAGGTTACTCAAAATATGTGTGCTTCGTGCGATCGCATTTAAGAGCCACTCTCATTTTGCCTCCTCAGGGTCTTGAGACACAATAGTTTCTTTGTTGCGGGGCAAATCCATGCAAATTCATTTCAATATCTGCACGTTTTGTGCGAGGATCCGAGATAGAGGCAGCACTGATCTTCAATTCTTAACACACACACACACACGAACGGGACCCAGACCATTCATGGAAACACACGTATCAAGCTCGAACACTTAAAGGAAGATTGTTAAGAAAGTGGGTTAGGCTGGAACACAAGCACAGCTATTACTATACCCATCTCCTCTTTGTCTGGGTGTGTCTGCGGTGCCCTGCTGGTAACTTCGTTAAGCTGAATCATCACGCAGATGTAACACAAACTCAGACGGATGCACGATGATGCATTTGCATGGACCTATACAAGTCCAGACCAAGCGGAAGCCGTCTGTAAGACAACTGGTGCGGCACTTTGTCTCCTAGCAAAGTCTTTGGTCTGGCAGGAGTGAAAAGGACAGACTCATTTCATCCACGCCGCTCTAAAAGCCGTCGGTAATAAGATTTGCAGGAGAGTAAGAAAGGGAGAACCTGTCCTCTTGGATTGAAATAGTTAAGTGCAATATAGTGCAGGCTGCAGTGGAGTAAGACCAATAGAGAATTTTCTCGTACAAATGCTCTGTGTAACTGGCTTATTATGTATACTATATCTACTCACATAAAGCTTAATTATCCACACCCTCCTCTTGTTTCCCTTGAGCTAAGAGTGACACTGTTACATTTCATTGTTTCATCACCATCTATCTCTGGGTGAAGTTTCATTGTTTATCCCTGAGTTGTGCTGGTTGTATCCCATTGTTCTGTTTTCACTGCAGAGGGCTCCTCTGCCAGGCTCCACTCTGCTTGTATTATTTCTTTCCATTCTCATTCAGCTGGGCATATTCGGCCTTGTGATTTACTCCAGCGGCCGTCCAATGTCAAAAATGCACGTAATCACTATGAGCTCTTTAGCAGTCTGTACAAGAAGTTCTCAGGGCCTACTGTGTGTGTGTGTATACATATATCTATATCCATCCATCCATTACCAATACCGCTTATTCCCTGTTGGGGTCGCGGGGGGAACTGGAGCCTATCCCAGTGGTCAACGGGCGAGAGGCAGGGTACACCCTGGACAGTCCGCCAGTCCATCGCAGATATATCTATATCTATCTATATATATATATTAAGAATAGGGATTCCTCCCTCAGAAGACCTATTGCTACTGACTTTCGGTCCTCTCATTGAGCTATTTGGCATACTTTGTTTGTTTTTTTTGGTTTATAAGTTCAGAAGAAAGGCCTCGTGACAACCACTGTTCCATGTTTTGTTTTGCTCATGAGGCTTGGATGGATTATTTCTTATGCCTATTAAACTATTTTTGTCAATGCAACAGAAATTGGAGCATATTATTTCTTCATGACAGTCTACAAATAACATAATACCGAAAAGGAACTGTTCAACGCAGGATCTAAACAAAAGGGTTAATTATTTTGCCTTCCACCTTAGCCAATCCTTCCAACCACCATTCCATCCATCCATCCCTTTTCTATACCATCCATCCTTCCCCTGTCCAATACCGCTGATTCCTAGTAGGGTCGTGCATGGCTGGAGCCTATCTCAACTGACCAGGTCGTCAATCACTTCAGCCCTTCATCTTTTCGTTTTTTGGCCAAGATTCCGATTTTGACGATGCAAAATTGAACTAAACTTCTGTTGGACTGTGTTGTGATTGCCATTTATTAGACATTTATTTATGCTTGATTGATTGTTGGTGTTTAAAAGAAGAAAAATAAGGAACATTGCACTGAAAGTGAAAAGTAGCAGATGTAAAATAAACAAACAAACAAAAACAGATGCCCTGAAGAAGTGTTGCTCAAGGCCACTTCAAAGGTTACACAAATATCTGTATCTTTGACAGACAAATCTAAAGAATTGAGTGACGGGTCAGCCTTTTGCGCACCACAGTTGGTATGTGTGCAGGCAAAAGCAAATGTTCAGCATTCTCTGACAGTGAATCCTTGCATGTGTAAGAATGTGCGCAAGCATGAGGAATAGAGATAGAAAACCAGCACTTGTATGATAATCCGAGTTCAAGCCTGTTTTTTCTCTGTACTCGTAAGCCCACTAAGGACCCAAAAAGTGTTCAGAAGCAAAAAAAGCCACGTCTGCCATTACATTTGAGCTCATCCCTCTGACACATTCAAAGTTCCCAGTGGATTCTTCCATTCTGAATATATATGGCTGCCTTTCGTTGGACTTAGAAAGCTGTCTATCTGCTCCCCTCTCATAGGATTAAGTTATTAGCAAGTCACTGCAGATACCCGCAATGTGACCGAGAGGGGGGCTCTCCCCTGACCACACTGTTGACCCTGGCTCACAAAGAGCCACATCTTGACTGTAGCTCTGAGCGTTCATGACTCACCATTAAAAAAGAGACACGTGCCATTTTGCGGTCAGTGGCTTTTATCATGAAACATGACCGTTTAAACCACCTGAATTTATTCACAACCATAAACACTGGCACCCATTTTATGACAAGTGCTTTTTGTTTAAGATTAAAAGCCTTATTTCTTAATGTTTTTTTTAAAATCAGTTTAAAGGTATCTCAAAAAGTAGCAATGACACACGACATGCTTCAGTCTTCCTGGAGCATAAACTCTACCATATAATATTATGGATAATTACCAAACATGTGGCTCACCCTGTATTGTTGGATAGAAAAGACCGGAGTCATTTTCTGCCGTGGTGCTGCGGCAGTAGCAGCCGTTTCGTTCCCTAATTGCATCTGGCACCCATCCACCACTCGCTCTGACTTCATTATGAGATGGAGGTATTCTCTCTTAAATGACTTCTACTCAATTACTCCACCAAGTTCCTCCCTACAATCAAGCTAAACCACGCGTATTGTTATCAATGACAGCTTTTATACCAGCTTAGACATATTATGTGCTATTGTTTGATTCAATAGCCCCGGTCATTTAGGCTCACTGGAGATAATTTCGGCCATTGATTCCGAGCCCACCAAGTGTTCCATTTTAATCCCCGTCTCCTTCAATTTTTGTTTTAGTATCCGTGAAGCTTTTTCTTCACTGGTCAATGGTCAAATCCCACAACTTCTATCTATACTGAGTTGTTTGTCTTTAGGAAAAAATAAGGCCGTGTTATCTCTGACATGGGGTGATTCACTCGTGATCTTGTTATTGTGCACTGCGTTTTCCCCTCTTACTAAATGGCAAAATTTTGCTTTAAGTGTCATTCAAGGCAAACACGGACAAAACTAAGAGAGCCCACAAAGCATACTTTTCTGTACCTGCTATGTGACCGCTCAGAAAATACAGTGAGTACCACACAAAATAATAGCATGGCTTTTAAAATGGCAATTGGCATTGTCTTCTCAGAGATCACAATTTTTGTCATTGTGGAGAAACCTTCAGGAAAGAAAATTGAGTCCAAACATTTAAATGGAAACGTTTGCAGCTCCTCAGCCACTTGATGCTCCCAAAGCGCGTCAACCCTCACATAACAGCAGCACAAAATGCCCACCAGCCTCATGGTAAAGAAAAAAAAGGAAAAAATTGGTCCCCATAGTTAATTTCCCAATCATGTCTGGAGTGTGTATTTTTTGCTTGTATTTCACATTTCACACAGACGGAGTGCCACGAGGGCTCGCTGCTTGTTCTTTCTAAAACGCAGTGATCCTCCCATTATGTTTAAGAAAGCCATCAGCGGTCTGCCACATCTCGGGAGATGTGTGCCTCTTATTTGTCAAAATGCTCTTTTCCTCTTAAACGTCTCAGAGCTCCAGGGTTAAACTTGCTGGCTCATGTTACAAGCACAGACCTGACGGATGAGGAGCTTTTACTCACAGAAAATCTAAGAATGTGTGCAGTGCCAGGTTGTGAGCAGAGGTTGAAACCACAAGCTGCTGGTCTCAGTTCACCATGGAGATTATTTCATTGTTAGACAACATTAATTAATTCATGTTTGTAATTTTGATAAATTAGCACATGCGATAGTTGAGGGCATATTTAAACGATATTAAAGCATGAAAGAAACAACACTCAGGTGGTAGAAAGCCAGAAAGGAAAGACATATTTCTACCAGCAGAGTCTAAGCTAATTTTAAGCATTTATTGTTCTAGTTATTTCTGGTATATCAGTAATTTCTCTGACTCTAGTCAATTACCTCTGCACAGTGTGGATCTTTCAAGCTGGCTCTAATCTTCCTATGAAGATTTATTCCGTAATAGCACATCTGTCTTTTACACTCCCTCTGTTCTACAACTGATCATTGCTCACTTTGAAGTTAGTGGTTTATAGTGATCTACCCATAACATTGGTCATACCTCTGAAACCTCATTACTACGAAGGCATTTAGTGTAGAGCCACTTCAGAATTAAAACTTCTATTCAGATATTCAAACATGCTTCAACCAATTCTGTATTACAAGCGCCAGAACTGGGACAGGCTCATTTCTCTCCACCTGCCTCTCCAAAAGACTCACCTCTAATGCTCTCTCCATCGCTGTCTTTCTGACACACATCCACACAAACACAAGCCCAAACGTAACCACACCTAGTGCTCGCTCTCAGCTCTGAGTTCAGTGTACCATAAAAGAAGAACCACTTCAGTAATGACGGTTATTTCAAGCACCCAGACAATGCAACAGTGTTTGCCGGACAAAGAACAGGCTCCTGCACTATCTGAGCAACAAAGACACCGGCCTTGCCAATAGAAACAATATTCTTAATATGGAACAAATATTCACAGAATTACCTCCCCAAGAAAAGGCAAGTAACTGCAGGCTGTAAAATGACGCATTTTGCCTGACACATTAGAGACAATAGTGATTCTGTATCATTTTAATCTCCATAGTTTAAACAGCCGCAGCCATTGCTGCCCCCCCTTAACTGTGATGTGTTATCAGTGTGGGCACTGTATGAATAGATAAGAAAACAGTTTCATCACTGTCATCGCCAGTTATCATGGCCAGTTGGGCGGCACAGTAGGAGAGCAAGCCAGAACTGGACAGTGGATTGTATTTCCACAACATTTAAATAGCAAGATACCATCTAATTGATGTCACCATGAAAACTCCTGAGACTCAAACCATGACAACTGAAAAAAAGGAATTCAATTGTGGTGTTTCATTCAAATATACAACTAGCCATTGGCTGGTTTTATCAATCAAATTAATGCATACAAATTACCTGTGCATCCACTAGGGTGGCGTTGGCCAAGCTTTCATTAATGAAGACATGAACCAAGGCAGTAGCACACAGAGAGGGTATGCCACTATCATTGACTCGAACCACCAGACGATGGAGACCTCTGTGGCGACGCTTCAAAGGCTCTTCCAGAGTGATCACTCCATTGGTGTGGCCTATCTCAAACAGTCTTGATGGATTTCCCCCCACTAGAGCATAGTGAAGATCAGCATTTGGGCCTGTGTCTGAGTCTATGGCCGTTACGGTCCTGACAATGGTGCGGGCACTACTGGCAGGTGGAAGGAGGGTATAGGATTCGTTGGCTGGAGAGGTGATCGAAGGGGCGTTGTCGTTTTCATCCGTCACAAAAAGTGATACTGTGGCAGTGGCTGTTTTGCGGGGCTCGCCTCCGTCCACGGCCCGGACTCGAAAGGTGTAGGTGGAAAGCTTTTCTCGGTCAAACGACGCTGAAGAGAAGATCGTACCAGTGTTGTTCTCAATGGAGAATATTTCTTCTTGCTCCTTCTGCCCATCTTCCCCATCCACCTTCTCGCCTGCCATCTTCATGTCAGCTCCATCCATCTCAACAAAGAGGCTAAGCTCCGCATTCTCCCCTTCATCAGCATCTGTCACAGTGACCATGCCGACTGGACTGTTGGCCAGTAGGTTCTCTTTGACGTAGAAGGTGAAAATTTCCTGTACGAACTTTGGTGCGTTATCATTGCGGTCAGTCACTTGAATGACAACAGTTGCGGATCCTTGCAAAGGGGGGGTACCTTTGTCTTTTGCGATAACTCGCAATTCATATCTCTCACGCTGTTCACGGTCTAGAACCCCAGTGGCCCGGATATCTCCATTGTCTGCATCTATGTAAAAAGGACCATTGGAAGCAGGATCAAGTGAGTATGCCATTTCAGCGTTCTTGCCACTGTCTGCATCAGTGGCAACAACAGTGACCACCCTTTCACCAGGTGAGTTGTTCTCAGCAAAGTGGACCTCCACAACACTCTGGGCAAAGGTCGGGGCGTGGTCATTGATGTCTACAACTCGTACCATCAGCGAGCTGTTACTGGACAGGCTGGGGCTTCCGGAGTCTACAGCCACAATAGTTACACTGTACTCTTTTGTGGCCTCAAAGTCCAGCAAGGCTGAGGTGTGTAAGAAGTACTTTTTCTTGTTCCTGTGGAAACAAAAGAAAAACAAGACCTCATGAGTGCGGATGCCATCTTACATGGAAAGTATCCCCTTTCCTGATTAATCCACCCAATGTAATCAAAACAACAGCGATGGCCCTTGATAAAACAGTTGACTTTTAAAAGGTGTCATTGTTTTTTCATTTGTGCGTCTGCATGTCTGTGTGTGTGTATGTGTGTGTTTGTGTGTGTGTGAAATGTAAGAAAACAATCATTTGACAAATTTAACACCATAACAGAACTTTTTCCCCTTTTACAACCAAACAAAGCATGAATTATATACCGGTTAGAAACCAAACTGAACAGTATTTGAGAAGCTGAAACAGAAGAATGATGAATTTCAAAATCTGCGTTGCTTGTTAATTGACTGCAACGTTTAATAAATTGTCAAACTAGTGAGGCAATTTCTTTGCTGTCAATCAAGTATTGGATTAATGAATTAATCATTTTAGCTGCAATATGCTTTGCTTTAATACACATTACATTTCAAAAGTTCTTCATGCATGACTGCAGTGATCTGCAGAGACAATAAAAATGGGAAAACTGTGATTGTGACATTTTAATCAAATTAACTTATTGATTCGCTAAAGCCCTCTCATGATTATTGCTTCAATGAATTTCTTTAGCCAAAGAGAGCCCAGCATTGAAAATAATAACCAGTGTCACTGAAAAGGTCATACAGTATATGATGGCAGTAATATCCTAAAAAGGCCTTGACTTGTTCCAATACCTCCTTTATTCAATAGCCCCAGGCGGTGTTCTACAAATGACTGAGGAGCACTGACATTTGTAGTCTGTGCTGCTTGATCGTATCAAAAGTTATTTACTGAAATGAGAACGTATGCTAAAAGTTTACAGATTGTATGATAGCCTAACTCCCCCTTAGCCTTTGTGGATGAGTGACACCACTTGAACCGAACTTAAATTAAATGTCTACACATCAGCCCTTGAGGTACTTTTCTTTAAACTGTGGAAGGGATATTTAAAGAATGTCAAAGAGGCAATAAATTGCTGTACAGGCAGCTGTCAACATAGGAGGACAAATAGTTTTTAGCTACTGTATGTAGGCCTTATAAGTAATTTTTACATATGAAAGATATCAATCTGCAATAATGTATTTATTGTTCACATTTGGGTATATACTAAGAGAACTGATTCAGGTTCATAATGACAAAAACTTAAATCATTATCTGCTTAGTATTTATTTTCTAGTTAAAGTGGTGTATGCCCTCAAGGAAGTACTTCACATGAAACCTTTATCTAAAAAATATAATGACTTCACAATTGCTTCAACATTGCCTGCTGTTGTCGGTCCCTTAAGTAAAAGGTACAACAGCCCTGTGACATACACTTTTTATCAGTTCATGTTCATTAATATGTTAGCTGATACTGCACCCAGGTTATGTATTATCTATTCCAGTCCCTTCATTTGAGATATGATCCTGCCTCTCTTATCTGTATTGCACAGTGTTATTTACTACGAGTGGTTGCATTTGGTTTTTCTTACCGATCAAAAGCCTCATCTGCAGGGAGGGGTGGAAGTGCTGTTTCACCGGCTGGCTTCAGGGTGAACGGAACATCTCCTACAACTGTACAAGTCACGGCCCCATTCTCTCCCTGGTCTCGGTCCGAAACCTGAACCAAAGCCACTGGTGTGTCCACCAGAACGTTCTCTGGCACGAGGGCCGCTCCATCCCGCACGAGGATTCGCCCAATCTTTCTGATCTCCACGACTGGAACGTTATCGTTTTCATCCCGGACAGCCAGGACCACTGTGGTGCGGTCGGTGCGGGGAGGCTGGCCCCGGTCCCTTGCCATTACTGTGAATCTCAGCTGGGCCACCTCCTCTCTGTCAATCCTGTGAAGGACGCTCAACCATCCAGTGGCCTCGTCCAGCCGCAGCAGCCTCCTGACAGATTCGGTGGCAGCTCCAAGGACGTACTCCACCTGCCCGTTGACGCCAATGTCACGGTCTGAAGCTCTGACCTGAAGCACAGGTGTGCCGGGAGGAGCGTTTTCAGTCATCTCTGCCTCATATGTAGACCTTTCAAACTGTGGACTGTTGTCATTCACGTCGGTGATAGAAACGCGAAGTACGGCTTGGGAAGAACGTGGCGGGTTCCCACCATCTCTTACTCTAAGGACAAGCTCATAGGAGTCTTTCAGCTCACGATCCAGCGTGCCTTTGACGATAAGCTGTGGCTGCTTCTCACCATCTGGTATGTCTGCTACTTGAAGTTCAAACACACTGCTTCTGACTCCTGCCCCATTATCTCCACTTCTGCCCCTCCGGTCAAGTCCATCCACTCTAGCAATGGGGCTTCCACCTGCTGTGCGTCTCGTTGAACTCGACCCAGCACCATTATCTTGGATGAGCTCGTAGCGGTCAATGCCATTTCGCCCAAAGTCCCTGTCGGTTGCTGTCGGGAGAAGATACAGGGTCCCTATCGGGCGGTTCTCCTCAACCGAAAGTTGGAGAACAGGCGAAGGGAAGGCAGGCGTGTTGTCGTTGATGTCTGTTATGACAACGCGGCCCTCGAACAGGTCCACCCAACTCTGCAGAGGCCCTATGACTGACACCTCAAAGTCCAAGAAGCACTCGTTCTCGTCAAAAATCATCTGGCACTGCGGGAGCTTCTCTCTGTCGATGCGCCGTGGGCCCGTCGTCAGCTCGCCCGTCACGTTGTCAATCTTGAAGTACTCTGAGCCGCTCTCCAGGGCGAAGGTGACGTCCCCGCTGCCCGTGCCCGCCGTGAGCCCCAGGTCCACGGCCACGTTGCCGATCTTCACGTCGGGCGGACCCTCCTCCGCCACCCGGTACCGGAGCGCTGAGTCTGCAGCCGGGAGCTGAGTCAGCATTTGCAGCAGCAGCAGGAGCAGGAGGCTGAGAGCCTGCGCCGCGGAGGAGTGCACTGCACCAAGCCTCTGCATGGCTCCCCGCTTCAACTCGCCTCTCCCCTTGCAGCTCAGCCTCTTCTTGGTCGGTCTTTTACGGTTTTTGGTGTTAAATCGCTGAGCGGGTGTTTGATTGATCCTTTGCTTTTGCCTTTACTTTGGGGCTGTCTGCGCACAGCCAACCTGAGGTCCGGGCAAACAGCTTTTTGCGCTCGGTGTAGTTCACCTTTCTTTTTTTTATCCTCCTCCACTCGCGTAGGGGCTTTCAACTTTTATAAAAATAACTCTGCAGTCTTCCCGGGCTCTTCAAGCCCCAGATATACGTATAAAAAAAATCCATCCCGCTGCGGGGGAATAAAAGACGAATTCATCAGCTTTTGATTAATCCACTTTACTCTTCCTCCCTCGTTTCCTCCCCAGAAAAAGGGAGAGCTATCCCGTTGTCACACCAGGACGCTTGTCAGTTCACAATGCCTTTTGTAAGTTCTTCTGATTCCAGTCACATATGGGACAGCGGCTTTTCTCACGTTTTTCAGTTAGAAACTGCAATGCAGCACCACTACACAAAAGAAAAGAGACGAAGGGGAAAAAAAATTATCGCTCAGTTCTCCGGGACATTTTAGCACACATCTCCAAAGTAGAATTAAAAATCAGTTTAAGGGAGGGATGCTCCAACTGGACCCATTTTTCTTACCTTCGATTCCAGCTGCGACCCCCTTTTCTTTTTTACCCGCAGTGGAGCAACGTGCCAAGCAGTCAGATTCCTTCACGCAAGTTGTGAGGGGGGAAAAAAAGAGTGTTTTTTTTTCTTTTTTCCCCACACAGCGAGTTTCTCCTCAAATGTTTCCTCGCGAAAACAGCAAGGAGAGCGTCTCTTTGTTGGGGCAAACTGGGTATCCCGACATCAGTTGTGAGTAATCCTGCGTACGGGATGGATGTATCGGTGATGGACCTGGCGTAGATGCGTCTGTTTCCAAGAGTCCCGCATTCTCTCTCTCTCTCTCTCCCTCTCTCTTTCACTCCAGCTAATGCGCCTCCTCTTTCTCCTCTTCCTCCTCCTCCTCTGTTTTTTTTCTTTCTTTACTTCTCCCTCTCACCTGCACTGCTCGGGACCGCTGCTTGCCTCCGGTCTCCAGCGATGCTGCAGTGTGTGTCTCTCTCTCTTTCTCTCTTTCTCTCTCTCTCCTCGCTGCTGCAACATTTTTTTTCCCCGGCCACGTAACTCGATCGCTGAGCTGTAACAGGAGAGGCAGCAGAGGCGGTGTTGGGTCGCTTGTGAGTGGAAGCCTGTGTCGGTTACCGGGGACAGACCTCCACATCCCCCCCCCCCACCCCTTACTCCTGTCATATAGGAAGATTAAATGGCTCGCTGTCCCGGCTCCTGACAGCTCCTGGTGGGAAAATATCTTTATTCACATATTCATAGAGAGGACAAAAGAGAGACGGGGATGGGAAGAAAAGCAAAAGGTGCTCTGGCGCTATAATGCAAGTCAGCCTATAGCGCTCAGTCACATTTCTGCTGGTGCAGCTCTTTTGTTGGGGCAAGCTGGAGATAGTTTTGCTCATTCCGCTCTCTAAAAATAACAGATATTGCCCACACCGGCTCCTTTGAACATTTATATCCCCTCATTCAAGGTTTGTAAATAGGACTTCCTAACAGCAAACCATAGTAATGAAGAAAACATTTAAAAAAAAGGCAGGTTGTAAAAAATACTCCAAGCAATAGGCTATAACTTTTTCTGATGCATATGAATATCTCATCTTAAATATTCATGTTCAGAAATGATTTTTAAAAAATGTTTTATTTGTTGTTTTTATCTGGTCAGCGGTAGTGAAATCAGCTGCCTCCTGCTGGCTGTAAGGCTGCTGAGGGGATGTTGTCCCTCAGAGGACCGACCTGCTCGGCAGAGGAGCGCAATGCAGCATCGGTGTGTGTGTGTGTGTGTGTGCTGGTATTGAACGCTACCTGTGTCTTCTTTTGAAACCGCCTCTGCGCATCTCATTTTCAGGCAAGTCAGGCCGCCGTAAAGAACTGCCAACCAAGCTGCAAGACAAGAAAGGAAGCGGGGAGACACCCTCACCCCCCCCAACACACACACACCCCCACCCACCCCCCGTTACGCACCCCCTCTCTTCCACCACAACGGTTTTGCGCTCTGTGCGCACCGGCCATTGGGGAGCAGTTTACGGCTCACTTAACTAGAATATATATTATATAGAAACATATATATTTCTTTTTCTCTGACTGATTTTACACCCTTTAGCCAGCTTTAGTTTGACAGCGTCACTAGAAGGAGTGAAACCGATAAATCACTGTGTTTAAGTGTTTAAAGTACAGCCTGCTTTGCATTTCAGACGCAGCGGCACGCGCGTCCCATCCGCGCGCGCGCCCTCTGTTGCGCGACCAGCTCGCGCATTTCATTTCCTCAAAATCAACCGCAGGACCCGCCAGAGGTTCGTGCATTCTTGTAAAAAAGAAGAGAGAAGGGAAAAAAAAAACGAATGACACTGAAAGAAATGGAGAGATTGTATATGTGTAGTGTCCACCCGCTGGACAAAGATTTGTTTAAAGACTGAGTGCAGTCGTTTTAAAATGTCAAAATGCTACATTTCTAGGTTTTTAGCCTATACCCTCAAGTAACTTGGAGCGTAATCGCACTTTTTTTCCCCTCATTCATGAATATGCTAATTTGGTCCCGCCCATTCCCCGCGAGATCCAGCAGATGACACTGCCTGCCCTCTCTGCTCTGAGAGTTAAATCTGTACTCTTGTCTTGTAATGGGGGTGACAATGTTGCAAATGTCCGCATCAGGGAGGGATTGTGAGGAAGATGACGATACATTAATCAAGGTCACTTACCAATCTCTTCTACGGTCAGCCGGCTTTCAAGCTCGAGTGGCCTGGCCATAGGTTTTTAGCACCAAGTCACTTTTGGCGCTAAGCTAAAGGCCAAAAGTTACATCTTCTAGTTTTGCCTTGCTCATGCTGTCTTATCCATCCAGCACGCATGGATTTATACTTTAATCAGTTCCTCACAGTATTTGTAAAAAGCCCCGCCCCGCAAATTTGAGTTTTTCCGCTATCTTGCCTTGAACATTCACGCTTATCTGACATTGTCTTTCTGAGACTGTTGGTCTTGCTCTGCAGATTAGAGCATGCAATGATCAGCCATAACAAATGGCTGATCGGGCTTTTGATATGTCCTGTTACACACTGGAAAAAGTTGTGGTTATTTAAGTAAGGTTAAAAAAAAACTTTAATTGAGGGATTTTAAATAAAGTTGACTAGATGTGTAAGTTCCTTTTCGAATTTGGTGCGAAAGATTTTACATTCTTAGGTACAGTGGGATTATTTAGCATCTGTTCGTACCACTTTTACAAACATGCCTTGATATGATGGGAAATGCAAAACTAAGGGTCAGGTTATACTTTAGGAAAATGAGGAGCAAATCCCAAACCAGGGGAATCCAACAGACTGAGTGTTGGCACACTGGATATTCACTCGTATTTGTCATTTTTCCAGCAATCCAGCTCCTATTAGGCAAATGACTGCATTAGTCATTTAGTTTTTCAGGCTTTTGGGTGCATCAATAGTTGCCACTTGGTGCTGAGACATATCACGATTAATCTGTACTACAAACATCTGAAAAGAAACACCATACAGACCTAGTTGCAGCTGTTGGGCATAGTGTTTAAACAGATGTTTGGACCATGCCTACGTTGATATTATCCCAAAGTATCTGGGAAATCATTAACTATAGACTATGCTTAAATTACATAAATCCAGTGGCCTTCTGGGACTGCCGTCAGATATCCAAATAAAGCACATTGGACATCAAGGTTTATGTTTGTAACAAATACATTTTTGTAAAAGGTTCAAACAATGTCAGGTTGTTAATGGATTTGATATTGTGTTTCAATCAGTCTTTTTAAAGATGCACATCAAATTCAAAGACCCGGATGCCAAGGTATGGTATGTTTTGCATACTGTTACATGGATAAATATGATTCCTGCTAATTTACGGTAATAGAAATACAAAATAATCAAGCTATTTTACCAAAAATTTTTGCATGACATTTTTTAATGTGTCAGTATTACAGACTAATTTAAAAGTCCATATGCTTCAGTAGGAAGATTGTTTATGTTTCGTACTAATATTTAAGAACCCTCATGTCATTTTAAGGAATGATTTCAAGGAATGGATGAAGTTTACATCTCTAAAACAACGGACATTCTTTACCTTAAAAGTGAATTTGAACTCAGAGCAAGAACCATGAACAAGATGGGGGAATCGAGGTCAGTTGCTCAGAAGGTGGCTCTGCTGTCTGGGTCAGGTCAGATAACTTTTACTTCAGTAGATTCTGGTTATTTAAGACATAGTTGACCCAATAAAAAAAAAAAAAAGAAAAAGCTCATCCCACAAAAATCTGTTGGCCTGAGCATGCTGGTACATCCAACCCATTAAGATATAATTGAGCATGAATCCTCTTTCATCAGCAAATGAACTGCGGCTTTAATTTGCATATTGAATTAAAAGTGAACTGTGGTGTGTTCGCGGGTGTGTGTGTGCGTGCGCACCGTGCTGGCGAGGGCTGTAGTTAAAGACAGGATGTTCTTTGGAGAAACACAGCCTGTGCTGACATCCTTTGTCGCCTAAAGGCCTAATCTGGAGTTTGTGCCGCCACAAAAACAGACCACAGCTTTACACGGGGTGTGGGCCACCGAGGTAGCTGAGGTGAAGAAAAGAGACTCTCGCCTAATGCCTTTGATAGCGTTTGGCAAGAAAACTAGGTGCCCTGAAGACTAGCCGAAGAATGACTGACATGAAAGGTGTGATAAAGTACAGGTTTACGATCTCTTTCACATTCCAAAGAGCGTTATTTTTCGTCAGGTTGCAATGGTCCTTTTCTTTGCCATTTTCCACCATCTCCTTGAAATCAGTTTTCATTTTCCATTGGCCTGGCTTTTACAAAACAAATTGCAGCATAAGTGAGCACTGCTAATTGCTTATTGATTGCTGTCTGGTTTGGTGGAGG